TTAGGTCTTGAAGAAGCTGAGAAAGCAGCGGATCAAACTGAATTTTCTCTCAGAATCATCTTCTGTGTTAGGATTCAAAGAGTGCAATAGAAGATGAACAGTAAATAAAGACAGAGTATTATAAATCAGTGAATTACTGGAGATAGAGGTTCAGGCCCTGGTTGGGGCACTTATGTGACCTGAAGCAAGCGCTTCCTTTCCCTGAGCCTCAGGTTTTGCTTCTGTGGATGACAGAATTGGACTAGACTTAGCCAAGTCTAAAAGCTAAGGCTCTTCTAGTGCTCAGATTCTAACCAATCTGATTTCCTCTGTACAAAAGGAAGAAACACTCTGTTCTTCCAGCAGTCATTTGAGTTATTATCCACATAACTGGCATAAGCCTCCGTTTTTATTTGGCTTGGCTCACTCAGCTGGGCTAAGATGGATCTTGAGAACAGAACCCTCGTGGTGCCTTAGAGATGCTATAAACGGGTAGGATGTGATCCCTGAACTGAATATTTAAACACAAGGTGTATGTAAAGAATTTTTTTAAGTTTTTAATTTTAATTCCAGTATAGTTAACATGCCGTGTTATATTCATTTCAGGTATACAATATAGTGATTCAGCAATTCTATACATTACTCAGTGCTAATCAGAAGTGTACTCTTTTTTTTTTTTTTAAAGATTTTATTTATTTGAGAGAGAAAGAATGAGAGAGAGCGCGCACATGAGAGGGGGCAGGGTCAGAGGGAGAAGCAGACTCCCTGCTGAGCAGGTAGCCTGATGCGGCACTCAATCCTGGGACTCCAGGATCATGACCTGAGCCGAAGGCAGTCGCTTAAGCAACTGAGCCACCCAGGCACCCATAAGTGTACTCTTTAATCCCCATCGTCTATTTCCCCCATCCACTGCCCCTCTGGTAACCATCAGTTTGTTCTCTGTAGTTAAGAGTCTGTTTCTTGGTTTGTCTTTTCTTTTCTTTGTTCATTTGTTTTGTTTCTTAAATTCCACATGAGTGAAATCATATGGTATTTCTCTTTCTCTGACTGACTTACTTCACTTAGCATTATACTCTCTAACTCCATCCATGTTGTTGCAAAAGGCAAGATTTTATTCTTTATCATGACTGAAAAATACTCTGTTGTATTTATATACCACATCTTCTTTATCCATACATCTATCAGTGCACACTTGGGTGGCTTCCATAGCTTGGCTATTGTAAATAATGCTGCAATGAACATAGGGGTGCATGTATTCCTTTGACTTAGGGTTTTTGTATTTCTGGGAGGTAAATGCCAAGTAGTGCAATTACTGGATCATAGGGTAGTTCTATTTTTAACTTTTTGAAGAACCAGTTTGCATTCCCACCAACAGTGCAAGAGAGTTCCTTTTTCTCCAAGCACTCACCAATCTTTGTCATTTCCTGTGTTTATTTTAGCCATTCTGACTGGTGTGAGGTAATATCTCATTGTAGTTTTCATTTGCATTTCCCTGGTGATTAGTGACATCGAACATCTTTTCATGTATCTGTTGGCCATCTGGATATCTTCTTTGGAGAAATGTCTGTTCATGTCTTCTGCCCATTTTTTAATTGGATTATTTGTTTTTTGGGTGTTGTATCAGTTCTTTATATATTTTAGATACTAACCCTTTGTGGGATATGTCATTTGCAAATATCTTCTCCCATTCCATAGGTTGCCTTTTAGTTTTGATTGTTTCCTTTGTTGTGCAGAAGATTTTATTTTGATGTAGTCCCAATAATTTATTTTTGCTTTTATTTCCCTTGCCTCAGTAGACATATCTAGAAAGAAGTTGCTAAGGCCCGATGTCAGAGAAATTACTGCCTGTGCTCTCTTCTAGGATTTTTAAGGTTTCAGGTCTCACATGTAGGTCTTTTATCCATTTTGAGTTTATTTTTGTGTATGGTGAAAGAAGGTGGTCCAGTTTCATTCTTTTGCATGTTGCTGTCCAGTTTTCCCAGCACCATTTGTTGAGGAGACTGTCTTTTTCCCAATGTATATTCTTTCCTCTTTTGTCAAAGATTAATTGACCATATAATTGTGGATTTATTTCTGGGTTTTCTCTTCTGTTCTATTGATCTATATGTCTGTTTTGTGCCAGAACCATATTGTTTGGCTTACTACAGTTTTGTAATAGAACTTGAAGTCTGGAATTGTGATACCCCCAGTTTCGTATTTCTTTTTCAAAATGTCTTTACTATTCAGGGTCTTTTGTGGTTTCATGTAAATTTTAATATTGTTTGCTCTAGTTCTGTGAAAAATGCTGTTGGTTTTTTGATACAGACTGCATTAAATTTGTAGATTGCTTTTGGTAATATAGACATTTTAATAATATTCTTTCAATCCATGAGCGTGGAATGCCTTTCCCTTTCTTTGTGTCCTCTTTAATTCTTTCATCATTGTTTTATAGTTTTCAGAGTACAGTTTTCATCCCTTTGGTTAAGTTTATTCATAGGTATTTTATTATTTTTGGTGCAGTTGTAAATGGGATTGTTTTTGTAAATAAATGTTTATGTATGCAAGTGGAACATGGGCAAATGTTTTCTTCTTTCAACTTGCACTGGTAGAAAGTGAGTAAAGGTCTTGCTTTGGATGGTGTAAAGTATCAGACACAAGAGAATATGGCCAAATGCTGCTGTTCACAAGATATATCCCCCCACAGAAGTTTGCATTTTACTCAATATGCTGAGTCCTGCCCTCCCAAAAAAAGAGAAAGCAGGCAATTTGCCTTAAATGAACATAAACGAATAAACAAAAAACCCCTCAAATCTGGCAAATCTGAAAAGGCACCCCATGGAACTAAAGGTCTGCTGGAAAATGATTATGTGTTGGGTTGGAAGAAGGCAGAAGGCTTGAGCAGGGCTCCATGTAGAGCATGTTGCTGCAAACTGACAACAAGCCTGGGATCCACTATCCTGAGACAGCCATGGACAAGCATGTGTTCTGTCATTGCCCACTTCAGGCAACATCTGGTGATGTGGGAAGTGGGGCTAGTTTTAGTTGGTGGGGAAGCATTATCAGAAAAAAAAGAGAGAGAGAGAGCAAGGCCCTGGGCACATGAGACTATCTTCAGGAGGGAACTAGGGTGTCTTTCCTAGGACTCCTGAGACTGAGCTTTGAGGAAAAAGCTGCCACGATCAGCTAACATTCACTTAAAACTTCACTTTTGAATCAATTGGAGAAAGTTCAGATAAGTCACAGTACTATTAAATGATCAGAGGTGAAAGGATCTTAAAGATGATCTAATTCAACCCCTTACAAGAAACAGGGAAATGACTTATCTACCATCATACAACCAGGGTCAAAGCCATAATCCAGGTTTCCTAGTGTCTACTCCAGTGCTGCTTCTACAAGCCACACCCCTGCTCCCATTTTTTTGTTTTGTTTTTTTTGTTGTTGTTTTGTTTTAAGGTGAGCTCTACACCCAACATGCGGCTTGAACTCAGACCCTGAGATCAAGAGTCGCATGCTTTACCGACTGAGCCAGCTGACACCCCTCCCATGTTATTTTTTGAGGTGCTAAGGAATGCAAGGCTCTCTCTGCTGTTATTATATTAAAAATCAGGGTAAAGGAAGCTCACAGTGGAGATATACATAGCCTCCCCCATATGTTCTCTGTTTCCCCTGCTTCTTTAAAAAAAAAATAATAAACATTTAAAAGTCCATTCCTCTGTTAGCCACACAAGATGGAACATCTGTAGAACCTATCTGTAGAACCTATCTCTTTTGGGCAAGCCGACTAGCTGATGCACTAGAGTGGAAACTCCCATGGAAATTTCTCTTAGAAGGAAACAGATGGTTCTCCGAGGACTAGTTCTAAACACAATATTGAACATTTACTACAGAAAGGAGAACATTTTTTCTAATAATATTTCTAAAAAGTTTCCCTGAAACCTTTTGACCTTTAGTGTTATTTATTTCTTAGTAGAGCCTAATACTCTCAAAAATCCTGGATGTTCATTCCACATTAGATGTATGTCTGTCTTGCTTGCTTTGGATTAATTTGATTTGGGAAAGGAGGGGGTAATTTTCCATTTTTCAGACAACAGCTCACTTCTACACATTGTCTCCTACTCTTACATCCTCCTATCAAATTGTAGGCATGAGGAATTTCCAAGATGTTAATTTGGCCACCATGCATGCTCATTGATTTATATAGCTTCTGACTTCAGTATATTTACAGGCCCCCAAATCCAGAAGGGCTCTTATTTTTGTCCCTGAAAGATGTTTCTGTGAGTAGATACCTGTTTCTAAACTGACATCCATCTGTTATCTCTGGTTGGGTGCTCACAAGCTATCAATAAACATACAAGAAAAACACCTGGTTAGAATTTACCATCTGCCATTTTTGCTTCCACGCTGGAGAATTAGGCAATTTACTGCAATAGGGTTTGATAAAGGAGGGTGGAGGATGATTAAAAAGTTCAATCACAATGAATACCAGATCCATCCAACATAGTTTGAAATCTACCAGAACAGGGGCATCTGGCTGGCTCAATCAGCAGAGCATGTGACTGGATCTCAGGGTTGTGAGTTCAAGCCCCACGTTGGGTGTAGAGCCAACTTAAGAAAGGAAGGAAGGAAAGGGAAGGGAAGGGAAGTGAAGGGAAGGGAAAGGATCTACCAGAATAACTCCTAGCAGTTACAAACACAGCTTATATAAAGTACAAGCTATATGGGGGTAAAATTCTATCACCTCTTTTCTGATTCTAAAGCAGGAACTTACACAAGAAGGCTTGCAATTGAATGAAGTTCTTATGTTCATGTATCCTCTTTCTAATCAGTACTTGCTCTAGGTGCAGCCAGCCAGGATTGACAGCTGTGTGTTTTCATATGAAGAATATTGTATGTTTTGAGACCTTAGTGTGTGAAGAGCAGAATGGTGAGGAGGTAGCATTTCATAAGGAAGGCCTCACCTAAACTGACCAGTGGTGACTTGCAGGCTTCTGTGGGAATGAAAGTCTTATAGGTGTGGTAATGGTGGGCCTGCCTTATTACAGGAAGCTGGAGACAACAACCAGTTCTGTTGGAGGAACCTCTTTTCCTGCATTAACCTTCTGAGGCTGCTCAATAAACTGACCAAATGGAAGCATTCCAGAACCATGGTGAGTGGGGCTTCAGATCATAGAGGTGTCCATCTGACTGAATTTTTTAAATCTTAAATATTTATGGACTTCCTGCTTTGTGAGCTCTATAGATAGACAATGAATGCTACATAAGATGAACACCTAATTCTGGGTACTTAATCAATATGAGATAATTATTCACCAGTCCATTTCTTTACAAGGAGCTAAATATGACTCTCCCCCAGGGCCGCTCTGGTTGGAAAGTTAGCATTGTTGTTTGGATTACAAGCACACATCCCAAATGATGCAATCTAAGATTATTCATTGCAGCATGAATCATGAATGATTGGAAACAATCTAAAGCCTATTAATACAGGACCAACTTGTTAAATAATTTTGGTACATCCTTAGAATATTATACAACCATTAAAAAGAATGAGGCTGGAAAAAAAGGAATGAGGCAGTTCTATATTGATACGGAATAATTTTTTAAGATATATTGTTAAATAAAAAGCAAGGTATGGAACAATGTGACAGGATATGTAGTTGGCTGTGGTTTTTGTTAATAAAAATATGTGTGTATAGAATTATGTATCCAGAAGATACATAATAAACTGGTAACAGTAGAAATGGGATGTGTGTCTGACAAAATTATTTTGCTCTTTATATCACATACTTTGAATATTAGAAACTTTGAATTGTGACATATAATTGTGATATCTAAATATAAATAGAAGCTGAACCATAGATTCCCAGGGTATTGAGACCAGTCAGGTTTGGCTTAATTTGTTTGTGAGTTGGAAGTTCCAAGAAACGTTAGATCCTTATCTGCCTTTCTTCACTCTCACCCCTCTTTAAATGGGTAGATGCTGGTGGTATTCAAATCAGCTCCAATCTTAAAGCGAGCCCTCAAGGTCAAACAGGCCATGCTGCAACTTTATGTTCTGAAGCTGCTAAAAATACAGACCAAGTACCTGGGGCGCCAGTGGAGGAAAAGTAACATGAAAACCATGTCAGCCATCTATCAGAAAGTACGCCACCGCATGAATGATGACTGGGCTTATGGGAATGGTGAGTATTCTCAGAGCTCTTGACCTCCAGGAGTTGCCCAGGGTTTAAACAAAACTAAATAAGGGGCGCCTGGGTGGCTCGGTTGGTTAAGCATCTGCCTTCAGCTCAGGTCCTGATCTCAGGGTCCTGGGATCGAGCCCCTCCCACCCCTCTGTTGGGTTCCATGGTCAGTGGGGAGTCTGCTTCTCCCTCTCCCTTTGCCCCTCCCTCCCCACCTCTTGTGCTTTCTCTCACATGCTATCTCTCAAATAAATAAAATCTTTAAAAAAATAAAACTAAATAAACATTTATCTCTACTCTTTTGGTATAAATTGTTACACAGTTTAGATGAGAAAATATGTATGTAATTATAGTCAGGTGCTGATATAACAAACTTTAGGGTTACTGCCCCAAATTCTAGCATGTGCCCTGGTCCTATATTAACTATAAAAATCCATTTTAGGGTGGCTCAGTTGGTTTAGCGTCCAACTCTTGGTTTTGGCTCAGGTCATGATCTAATGGCCGTGGGATCAAGCCCCATGTGGGACTCCACTCTCAGCAGAGAATCTGCTTGAGATTCTCTTCCTCTGCCCCTCCCCCCACTTGCACATGCATGTGTAGGCTCTCTTTAAAATAAATAAATAAATCTTTTTTAAGAATCCATTTTATAGGGGCACCTGGCTGGCTGGCTCACTCAGTAAAACATGCAACTAGTGATCTCAGGGTTGTGAGTTCGAGCCCCACATTGGGGGTAGAATTTGCTTAAAAAATTTCCATTTTATAAAACAGGTAAATTAAGAGATAATTACCTCCTTTTGAAAACATTCCTTTAAATGACAGGTTTCTCCAAGAGATTTCTAAAGTTAAAATAACCTTTTATTATTAAAAAGCAGTTAGAAAAAGAAAAAAAAAACCAGCTTTTCCTGCTGGCTCAGTCAGAAGAGCACATGACTCTTGATCTCAGGGTTGTGAGTTCGAGCCCCAAGTTGAATGTAGAGATTATTTAAATAAATAAACTTAAAAAAAAAAATGGCAATTAGAAAATACAAGTCAGAAAACTTTTTACTATATCACCATATTTATGCCTTATTTATACCACCTGAAGATTGCCACTGTTAACATCTTATTGTATATTTTTCCAGACCTTTTTCTTTGCATATATACACATTTTACTTAAATGATAGCAAATTATACATACTATTTCATCATCTTTTTTCAGTTAACATTATCTACATCTTTCTATATCAGTATGTTTTCATTTTATCTAGTAAGTCCATATTCAGAATTCCCCAGTTGTCCCAAAATGTTCTTTTTGTAAGTTTTATTTATTTAAGTAATCTCTACACCCAATGTGGGGTTCAGTCTCATGACCCCATGACCAAGAGTCACACTCTTCTGACTGAGCCAGCCAGGCACCCCCCAAAATGTTCTTTAAAGCTATTTTTTTCAAGTCATAATCCAACCCAGGGCCACAAATTTCATCTAGTTGTTCTATCCTTTAATTTGTAAAACCTAGCAGTGTTTTGTTTTCACTTTTTTTCCATAATGCTGACTAATTGAAAAACTAGGCCAGTTGTCCTGCTGAATATCCACCTTCTGGATTTAGAAATGGCATCATTTACCTTATCTCTCTATCTCTAGTGTTACTAGTAAACTGAAAGTTAGATCCAGAGGTTCGATGGATTCAGTTTAAACATTTTCAGCTATAGTACGTTTGAGGTACCGTTGGGAACTGCATATTGTCTCACATTAGGAGACATTATAATATCTGGTTGACTACCAAGATATGATAGATTAACCAAGTTTGGAAGAATTTATTTTGGAGAACTTTTTCATTGTACTGACATTTGCTGTAGTGGGATTTGACCATTATTTGCATAATTGTATTTAAGAGTTTTTGGTAAAGATAACTAAAGACTTGTTTTTGCTGAGGTTTGTAACCTGTCTAAATTTTAGAGAATGCTGAAGTAAAAAACCCACAAAAGTAAAGGAAATATATGATTGGCAGGTAGCAAGCCAGGATGCAACTTCTATGAGACATAAAGCCAATTAACTATTTAAATTCTTATAGATTTTTAAAACATGTAAATGTTTTATCCTGTAAATGGCATAACTATTGTTGCTGCCATCATGAACCCAAACCCAATCTATACTTCCTTAAGATAAACCATTAAGGGGCATCTGGCTGGCTCAGTCAGTAGAGCATGTGACCCTTGATCCTGGGGTCATGAATTCGAGCCCCATATTGGATGTAGAGATTACTTAAAAAAATAAAATCTTTATTTTTTTAAAGATTTTTTTATTTGACAGAGAGAACTCACAAGCAGGGGGAGCAGCAGGCAGAGGGAGAGGGAGAAGCAGGCTCCCCACTGAGCAGGGAATCCAATCCCAGAGCCTGAGTTGAAGACAGATGCTTAGCCAACTGAGCCGCTCAGGCACCCCCAAAATAAAATCGTTAAAAAAAAAAAAAAGATAAACCATTGAGTGTGGGACATAAGAAATCTGGCAAAGCTGTATCTCTAGCCCTGAAATAAGTGTCTGAATAGGATAAATAGAAGAAAGCAGGTTATCTGTTTTCTGTTTTTACCTTCATGGAAGCTTTCACCTCATAATTTTAACATACGCTGACATATACATTTATCATATGCTGGGAGAGGTCACAGGGAATCAGTAAAGTCTTCAGTAATTGGTCCATTCTGATTCTCCTTGTTGTACCTCTTCTTGCCTCTTTCCATTCCTTGAGAGCTCGTGATTCCATTCAAATGGGTAACTCCCATACCCTAGGAAAGCTCAGTAAAAGGAATTGAGTTGCCATTTTGAAAAATATAATACATATAACTAGTAAGAAAGTGAAATAATGAAAAGAAGTACAGTAAAAAAAAAAGTCCCTCAGGGGCCTTATTTCCTTCTCAGTGGTAATCACTGTTAGCAGTTTCTAGACTACCTTTCCAAAGATAGTCTCTGCATATACAAGTGTATTTTTTAAACTGAAGTGACAGCATATTATACACTTACTTTGTACATTGCCCTCCACAAAAAGGAAATTCTGAGCAGTTTCACTGTTCTTATCCCATAGACCATACTCTGTGGTAAGAGGAGCAGAGTCCCGAGTTGTATACATGTTCTTCTTCCTCTCTTCCCCACACAGACATCGATGCCAGGCCATGGGACTTCCAAGCAGAAGAATGCACCTTGAGGGCCAACATTGAGGCTTTTAACAGCCGCCGATATGACAAACCCCAGGACTCTGAATTTTCACCTGTGGATAACTGCTTGCAGAGTGTGCTGGGGCAGAGGTTGGATCTGCCTGAGGATTTCCACTATTCATATGAGCTCTGGCTGGAGAGAGAGGTGTTTTCACAGCCCATCTGTTGGGAGGAGCTGCTCCAGAATCACTGACTGAGCTCTTAACAACAAAACATCTGATAGATGGGCTTAGGCTCCAATAAATGGTGCTCTGCCTACCCTGCCCATTCAGCCTTTGTTTCCAGGTCTGGGAGTGCTTGTCCAGGGGAAAGCTGGCCTAGCCCAAGGACATCCAGTGTAGTGCAGGGCCATTCTGGGGGCTTTGGGCCTGGTGATAGTGCAAGGCTAGGATCCGGAGTCACAACAAATTGGTCAACTTGCACTGGGGTCAGTTGGGTGCCCAGTTGGCCTTGAAAATCTACTGGATCAGTCCTAGACAGGCTCTTTAGTGGGACTGCTCCCTGCTTTAGTCTTGCCCAGAACCAGGCTAGCCTTTGCTGACCCCAAGAGTGAGAATAAGTTTATTATGGCATTTGACCCATGACATTCATCATAGGTAATGGGAGAGACAAGTCATAAAATAGGGAGAACATTTCCTTCTTGCTTACCCTGGATTCCTAGGACTTAAAAGAGGTTTGGCAAAGCCATCTTTGAAATTAAGTCTGTATTTTAAATTAAAAATTTTGACACCTCTTTCTAAAATTATTAGCTCAAAGATGATTTTAGAGCACCTGCACCTTCTTTGTAAAGGATAATGATTTACTATTACCTAAATACTGCATGTTATAGTAAGGTATATTGTGTAAAGTTTTTTTCTCTACTCCTAAAGAGATCTATGTTCAATCTGAAAATTATTTCTCTGTGTATTGTGTATAGGGCATGCAGTGCTCTGCCACAGCCAGTCTGAAATAGACCTCCTCTAAGGATGTTTCATGCTTTTCTGAAACTACTTCAGTCTTCAAATGACTGAGTACACTGTAAAAAATTATCCTTTTCATCCAATTCATTTTTTAAATGACAAGTAACTACAGGAGGTTTTATTTATTGAGATGGCTATGTCCATTTGTGCTCATGATCGATTTATTTTTTAATTGAATAGAATAGCAACAGCATCACAGCTTACCATTTTTCTATGTTGATCAATGATTTTTTTTTCCCTTTTTACTGCAAGTACTTTCAAAGTGTCGTATGGAGATTTAGCAATATACTGTTCCTACCTATAAGTATTGCACACTTCTTTGAAAATACAGGGGTTGATATATCAACCTCTTTAAACTTCTTTTACAGCAGAATCACATATTTGTCAGGGCGCCTGGATGGCTCAGTCAGTTAAGTGTCTGACTCTTGATTTTGACTTGGGTCATGATCTCAGGGTCATGAGCTGGATCTGCATCCCCACATCCTGCTGGGCTCCGCACTCACTGGGGAGTCTGCTTGAGATTCTCTCTCTCTCTTCCTCTGTCCCTCCCCCTTCTCCATACATACTCTGTCTCTCTCTAATAAATACATAAATCTTTAAAAAAAATCACATACTTCTCAACAGAAACAAGGTTTTTAGAAAAGCTTCTGATTTGATCAGGATCATTTTATTTCTCTTCTGTCCCCACAATTATGTCATCTATATTTTCAAGCTTTTTTATTTTAAGTGTCCTCCCCCCTGACATAGACACTACTGAATCTTTTTTATGATAGCACCAGGCCACTTTAATTGTGCCAGGAGGTCTAGTAAAAAATGGTTTACTCTGTCAACCACAGTCTCATTTGGAAGTCATGGTACAGTAATTAACGATATCCAAAGGAACTAGACCAGAACTCTAACTAAAGCTTGGATTTTACTTTTTTGAGCTTTAAGGTAGCAGGACTTCTGTTGTTATGGAAAGGTAATGAAGAATATAAGTATGTAATGGATGACACTTCTTAAAATAATTTGTAAATTTTACCTGAGTAGGACAGCTGTCCTCGCTGCAATCAAAGTAATTCACTGAGCATATCATCTATGAACCCTATTAATCTATTTTAATGTGGTTTAACTGAAAAGACAATTTTCAAGGAAAGAGCAGTCATCAATCTATTTCTCTTAAAGCCATATAGTATTTAGTTTGTGTCAAGAACAAATAAGTTGCCCTTTTAAAAATATGCACATGAATGCTTTCTGAGGCATAGAAGTATGCTAGGCTTTAACATTTCATACTTTTTTACAAGTCTTCTCTTAAGGGAAGATTAATTCTCAGTGCAGATGGAGAAACTGAGATACCAAGAAAAGTGATTAGTTTCAAATCACAACCTTTTTTTGCTGACTTGCTGGGATAGCATTCAGGTATTGACAGCCAGCCCCATATGTTAAAGTAACTGATTTGAATCTTCCAATTTGAGAACCCATGTGTGTGGTTAGGAATAAATTCAGATTAACCAACCTCCAATGGTGATTACTGTTACTACTTAGAAGGACATTATTTAAGTGATTTATAGAGGATTTTTATTTGTGAATACTTCAGTAAAGTTTGTGTTGTTGATAACACTGTTTATCTACTGAAAGCACTTTAATAAAAAGAAATTGAACTGGAGTTAGAAATTTGGTCTTTAATACAACATAAAAGAGTCTTAAAGACAGATATAGAAAGGAATAATATATAAAGAAGATGAATATATAAAATCTTGTGTAGTATTCCCTGGGGGTAGACTAATATAAACACAACCGCAAAATCTCAATGGCTTATAACAAAACTTTATTTCTTGTTTCTGGGTCTGGGGATCAGCTGCAGCTCTGCTCCACTCAGGTTGACTTGCTAGATTTAGCTCTGCTCCACACATCATCTTATTCTGGCATGAGGCTGATGGAATAGCTCCTGCCTGGGACATAATACTATTCTCATGGTAAAGGGCAGAAGCAAGCACCAAACCATACCATGCAAGCACCTGGAGGGTGCTTAAAGCTCCTGCTTGGATGTGGCATAAGTCATACTTACATACTTTTTGCTCATACTCCATTGGCAAAAAGCCATTCACATGGGGCAAGCCTAACACTGGGCCAGAGAAGTACATTCTACCTACGGAAGGCAGTTGCAACCAGGCATATGGGTAGACAGTGAGTCACAGCAGCTTCTCAGTGAGATTTTGAGATTGGTGGTAGGGCTTTCTTAGAGATTCTTGAGAATTTCCACAGCTCTCCAGTTTGCATTTGAAATCCCCCATTTTTCAGTGCTTTATGCTGATATTTTCAGTTGTGACTTTCCTGACTTTTGTGTACATAGCTCTTCATCTAACAATAATCTTAGTTCTATAAAGACAATTCTAGAAATGAATGAGTGTTTTGATGGTCTCTTTTTCTCCCACAAGTAGTTGTGATGAGTTTGAAGTCTTTCCTCTAGGCCTTCTTGAGATGACCTATATTTGCAATAAAACTAGCTGAGACTAAAAATGCAGCTGTAGTTCTGGAACAAAAATGACACTGGTTCATACACCCATCAGACTTGTGACCTTGATCTCATCAGTGCTATTATTGACGAGCTAAGTAACCACCTTAATATCCAGGCTAGGTCCAGTGTGAACTTGGCAACTCTTTGGCACTCTGCGAAGGTGCTAAGTATGTTTAGGGTAATTTGCGAAGGCAAAGAAAGTCCTGCCACTATCTCAGAAATACTGGGCGTGGTCAATTAACATCTGCTCTACGTATACTATAATTCCAGGCCAGACTTTTCTGTAATGGTATGATAAAATGTTTTCTGTAATAAAAATGTCTTACAAAATATTATGGAATTTATAAACAACTTTTGTGAAACACCAGTTTTAGAGCAGCTACTGCTATTCTTACATGTATTCAATACTAATACATATTTTAATGGATATTTTATATGATGCTTTTCAACACGAGAGACATCAAATACATACATAAATACATACATAAAATATATTTTAGTGTAAAAATGTCTACAGCATGATTTTATTCTCTATACATTAAACTTTTGTCTGCCTCTTGGCCTCCTGCTTTCTCATTTTCTCTCAACCAAAAAAAAAAAAGAAGAATATAGTGATAGTGAAGAAAATTGCCTCCCGTATGATCCCACCACTCAACAATGAGCTATTTATATGGTGGCAGTTTAACAATATAAGGAACTGTGTAATCTCTAAAATAGGGTAGAGCAAAGGGCTAGATCAAAGCTCTGTCTATATTGGCAGAGCATTTTGTACAGCAACATGCCAATACTTCTGGAAATGTTGGCATGGGTAAGTCCTAATTGGTGGTTTTTGGGAAAGCACATGAGTTATTTTACTCATTTTTTCCACTAATGAATTTTCAGTGGCCTCTCGTATTCCTTCAGAAGTCCTGGTATGGAAAGTTTATAGAAGGTAAGTCCTGAGTACCTTATACTTTCAAACACCTTTTCCGGGTGAATGCATTTTCTAAATGTTTGGCTATTCTAATGTTAGCCTTAAAATGTTAAACCTTAATATTTGGAAGATTTTTCACGGAAATGTATTCTTGCGTTGAAGGGATCAGATCATCTAAGACAATCTCCATCCAACCAAGAATTCCTTTATTAAGTATCAGCTACGTGTTTACCTAGCCTCTAATCTTTTCACTGACAGTAATCTCACTATGTCATAGATTCAGTAGTAATAACTGAAATGTCTACAAAAGAATTAACTACCTCAATACAATCAACTTATGGTATTATTTGAGCCAGAAGAAACATGAATACAGTTATGGAATCCAAACAACTCACATTAGCTATTAATTGTACTTTCTTCCCCACGTATTCGTTTCCCAGGGCTGCTGTAACAAGTCACCAGAAACTGGGCGGCTTAAAACAAGAAAAATATATTCTCTCACAGTTACAGGGGCCAGAAGTCTGAAATCAAGGTGTCAGCAGGACTCACTCCCTCCAAAGTCTCTAATCATTTCCTTGCCTCTTCTAGCTTCTGGCAGCTTCTGGCTTCATGTCACTCCAGTTTCTGCCTCGTGGTCACATTGCTTCCTCCTCTTCTCTCTCAAAAGTCCCTCTGCTTCTCTCTTCTAAGGATACCTCTGATTGATTTGAAAACCCGTCAGGGTAATCCCGGGTAAGCTTCTTTTCTCAAGAGCCTTCATTACATCTTTGCCATATAAGGTAATATTCACTCTTTTGCTATTAAGGTAGTATTCACAGTTTTTGAGGATAAGGACATGGACATATCTTTTGGGAGGCCACCATTCAACCCACTACACCCACTAACAATCATCAGACATGTAGTAGCAAAATTGATTAATTTACTCTTCTATCATTATTAGAGGTGTAAGGCAAGGCCTGAAGGAAGTTACTTTTATTTGAAAGATGCTTGCAGCTATTGATGTAGTCAAAGAAGATTCAAGTAAAGAAAGTTTCAGGCTTAGGTAAAGGATTGGACATAAGGAAGCAGGTGTAAAATTGAAGAATACATTTAGGTATTGGCATTTTTGTTTGTTTGTTTTTTTAAAGATTTTATTTATTTATTTGACAGAGAGTGACACAGCAAGAGAGGGAACATAAGCAGGGGGAATCGGAGAGGGAGAAGCAGGCTTCCTGCCAAGCAGGGAGCCCAATGTGGGGCTCAATTCCAGGACCCTGGGATCATGACCTGAGCCGAAGGCAGACACTTAACGATTGAGCCACCAGGCACCCCCAATATTTTTTTCATACATGGGAGCACAACATATTCTGTCCTATACTTGCTTTTATCATATTTATCCCGGAGACCTATCTTTCCATATTAATATTTTCTTGAATAATATATTTAATAATTAAATCATTCTTCTCTAACACTGCTTTAAAGTATGTTTCAGTTAAGAAGAAAGGGTATAGGTGGGAAGAATGGTGTGTGTACGCCCACACATGCCTGTATATGTGTATGTGGTGGTGGGGATGAGGTCAAGGGAAATTTACTCAGTTCTCATAGCAATAGGCCAAAGCAATTTGAAATATAATTTCCTAACAGAAGCTCTGGACATTCAGACTCCCAGATCCTGTAAATGTAATGAGATTGTCCCTGAATGGGCTATGGGGAGGTTTTTAGGCTGTTTGCTCCTTTACTAATTAGCCAGATTTAAATTTCAAAAAGCAAGGACTTTAAATTTTTACTTTTACATATTTTATAGAAAATAACCAAAGTCTTTCTGAGGAACTACAAGAGTACAAAAGTCATCCCATCTCTGCTCAAACACCTTCAGTGACAGTGACTTCCTTACTAAATATGACAATACCATCTGTCCCCTTGCCTCCAAATGGAAACATTAGTTTGAACATTCTGTAACTTTTTGTTCAAATGCTTAATGGAGCTGGCAGGACAAAGATCCTCCATGTGGACGCCTGTGAAAATATGTCTTCACGGTAAGATGTGAGATATTTTACCCAGAAAGGCCATACAGCATAACGGCTCAGACTGAGGGTGCTCAACCCAACTTGGTGAGCTATGCTATGCAGGCTCTGCATCTATTAGCTGTGTGAAGAATGACAAGTTCTTTCCTCTCTCTCTGCCTCAGATTCCCCATCTGTAAAATAAGGATAATACTACTTACCTACCTTCTAGAATTGTAAGGATTAAATGAGTCAATGTGCATATAGTGCTTAGAATAATGCTTGCTAAACACGAGTGTTCAATAATTGCTGATTATTATTTCCCACCTCATTCCTCTCCCTATCAAAGAATACCCAGCAAGAATAATTAATAGCATTTTAATTCTCTAGTCCAGGAATCAGCAAACTACAGCCCAGGGGCTAAATCTGGCCCACTGGCAGGTTTTATACATACAGCGCATGAGCTCAGTAAGAATGGTTTTTACATTCTTAAATGGCTGGGGGAAAAAATCTGTGAAAGAAAAATATTTTATGACACATGAAAATTCTATAAAATTCAAATTCAGTTTCCATGATAGTTTTATTGGAACACAGCCATGCTCACTCGTTTACATGTTATCTATACATGCTTTCATTCTACATCAGCAGAGTCATTGCAAAAGATGACACAAGGCCTGAAAAGCCTAAAATAGTTACTGAGTTTGCCGACCCTTGCTCTAGATAATTTTGTCTCCTGTCCGCTCCAGCTGGTCTTTATTGCACCCCAAGGTTCTCACTGCTGGGACCCTAGTGGCCGGCCAGAGGAAATTACCTACAAAGAACATTTTATTTTTTCTGTAACTTCCTCTACAATATTAGAGCTATAAAGGATGAAGTGAATGCAGTGCTATACTGTTGAACTTAATGAGATACAAAGAAAGGAAGAGAGGGAGGGACCAGAGTAGAAAGGAGGAAATCAGAATTTTTAAATGCAACTTCTAAGAAAGATAATCATAGAATATTCTAAGTTTGGATGTTCTAAGAATGCATGCTTCAATTCTGGCAATGTTATTTTTTTTAAAGAACAGCACAGTTTGTATTACTATTTATAAAGGAGACATAAGGGTGTATATTCATAAACAGATAAAATTAAGTAGTACTATTCTTTTTCAAGTTTTTTTTTTTTAAGTAATCTCTACACCCAACGTGGGGCTCGAACTCAGGACCCCGAGATCGAGTCACATGCTCTTCTGACTGAGCCAGCCAGGTTCCCCACCAGTGCTATTCTAATGTGAATTTGAATAGTTATCTAAATTTAACTCATCTTCCAGTTTACACAGGAAAATTTGTTCAGTTCTTACAGAATAAACAGATAAGATTCTTAAGTCTTAAACATTAAATGATTCTTAAGTGGACTGGTATTTAAGAAAAATGCCTGCATTGTCAATGACTTTTTTTTTTTATTATTCTAACAGCAACCTGCGCTGTGTTATATAACAAAGTCTGTCTTTCAGCCCCACACCTCAGCAGCCCTCCTCCTTTCCCTGCAGGTGAGTGCAAAGCCCTTCTCTAGTGCAAAGGCTGAAGATCCACTTGATCGATGGAAAATGGTGCTGCCATTGAAGTTGTTCCGATTGTCACTAGACCACTTTATGTTCTGCCTGTCTATTGACAAAGCATGCTTTCTTGTGCTTTATAGCTTTTTTTCCCCCCCAGCTTTACTGGGGGTATAACTGACAAAACTGTAATATATTTAAAGTGTACACATGATGATTTGACACGCATATACATTGTGAAATAATTACCACAATTAACACATTCCTCACCTCAATTTTATATATGAGAACACATAAGTTCCACTCTTAGCTATTTTCAACTATTCAATACAGTATTATTAACTATAGTCATCATGTTATACATTAGACCTCATTCATCTTATAAGTGGAAGTTTGTACCTTTTTACCAGCCTCTCCCCATTCCATTTTCCCTAATCCACAAATTTATATCCTTTAAAGCAAGGCTTACTGGAGATAACTTTGAATTCACAAAGCATTTTCACCTGCATTCCATCATAAATTCCTTTATGGAGCCTCCCCTTGACATTGTCATCACCTTCACAGTAACCCAAAGCAAGAAAGTGAAGCTCAGAAAATTGCATAACTAATAAGTAGTAAGGCCAAGTTTTGAACCCACATCTTCTGGCCTCACGCCCGGGGTGTCTTCCTGAATGATTTTAGTGTTTAATAGCACCAGCTGGACAGATGGACAGAGCTGGCTTTGACTCTGCTTGTGTGAACTTGGGCAAGTTACTCTTTATGGCTTCGAGCAAACTGGAGAACATAATGGAAACTACCACACTAGTTGTAGGGAAATAATGATGCCATGATGTGTGCAAAGTGCTCAACAAGGGGCTTGACATCAGCGCTCCTTCAGTGTTAACTATTATCTGCAATATGAAATGAAGATCTAGTTTAGAATGATGACAATGTCAAGGGGAGGTTCCATAAAGGAATTTACAGGGGATGCTCATGCCTTGGACTCAGCATTGGAGAGAGGAGTTAGAGATGACGGAGGGCAAGAGACTGGGAGAGCAGTGTTGCCACTGACAACGGAAACTGAGCGGCTCACAGAGGGAGAGATGCCCTCAGTCCAGAGAATAGTGTGGCCTGAAGACTGGAGCTCAAATGGAGGCCATTCTTTCTGCTGGAGGCTGTGTCATCCCAAGAGAGGTAGTCGCTGATGTTATCAGATGACCTGTCAGGTAAGGAGACACTGAGGCACAACAGCAGAGAACTAAAGACCGGACTTTGAGATCAGCCAGCACTTGGAATGCAGCAGGAGGCAGACAGACATGAGATGACTAAGTGAAGTCCTGATGAGCAAGGGGCATAATGCACAGATCAGAAGCAAGTGGGGAGACTTAGAGGAGGAGGAGGAGGGGAAGAGGAGAGCAACACTGACTCAGGCTCAGACATCCACGAGAACGAAGAAGTGGCCAGGCTTGCTAGAATGAAGGGGATACTTCTATGAATCATGGCCGTTAGTCCATTAACGTCTCTCACTACCAATGAGACATACAAAAACGAGTCTAAAAAAGGTTGCTCACCGTGGAGAACACAAGTAAACATCTATCGGGATGAACTCACAAAGTTGGAAACGGAACTGCACCTACTGCGTAGCCTTCCTTGCTCCCGTTCGGGCCTAACAACCTTTTTTCAGGCCTTTACTCTCTCGGGGACTGTACCAGGCTCTTTATGAACATTTTCCCGGGATTTTTTTTTTTTTCCCACTTCAACTCTCAAAGGCTGTATGTCATTTCCCAAAATAAGGTCCCGGAGTCTTCGACTTCTCCAAAGTCAGCCAGTGAGTGGCCCGGCTCCTACGGCGGAACCGGCCCACTCCAACCAAGCCCACGTATCACACCCACCCGAGCACCTCCCGGTCCCGCCCCCAGCGCGAGGCTGGGCTTTCGGGCACTCGCGGCCGTCGTCGCCGTCGCGCGAGGTGAGGTGGCCCAGCCAGCGCGGCGAGGCCGGCGGGGGACTACCGACGGACTGCCCCGCCGGGCCCAACGGCTGGGCGCCGGGCCCCGGTGTCCAGGCAACAGGTAAACACCGCGCGGCCCCGCCCCCCACGGCGCGCACCGCCCGGCGTTTGTGCGCGCGGCCCCGCCGGCCCCAGCGAGCCCGGCGCCGCCCCCGCCCCAGTGCCCGGGGCGTGCTCGCCGTGGGTCACGCGGCCCGCTGCCTCGGTGCGGTGAGTGCCCAGGCTCCGCGTGGCGGCGGCTGGGTGGCTGGCTGCCCCCTGACCCCGCCGGGCTGCCGTGGGCGTCTGGGGCTCTTGAGAAGCGTGGCGAGGTCCCGAGCCTGCGACGGTTCGCTGGCGAGTGCGGAGGCAGCCGGGTAGGCAGCAGGGATGGGCGCGGGGGCGCCGCCCCCAGGCGATGCGGAGAACTGGGCTCTCTCTCTTTATTTCAGGATTGGGAACCCATGCCACGCTCACCTACCTGCTCGACTGAGGAATTACCATGGTAATACACGTCTTATTTAAGTATAAGAAATTCCGAGGCTTTCGCTAAATTGGTTTAATACCGCTCTGCCTCGTTGAGGCACGTTTTACCAAGATTTGTTACCCACGCCACGAGATGGGCACCTCCGTCTCCTGTCGTTGGGGAGGGGGGTGTCCAGCCTAGTGATCTGAACACTTGGGGCACAAAGATGACGGGGAGACCGGTTGCCCAGGTGGTCTGCGCGCGCCAAAGGGAACAGCGAAGCAGGATGAGGCCGAGCCCTCTTTTTGCGAGTTGGTTAGTTTTCGTTCCTTGGTTCTGTTGAGCCACTTTCATAACCATATATGTGGGAAATAAAGAGAGGCGGGTATCAGGGTGTGAAACCCCAGAGTGCCAACACTTGTCAACAGGGACTGGCCCAGGCACTTACCCCCTGCTGCCGCTGTCCTGGGTCCTGTGCAGGATTCTCCTCTACGGATTAAGAGGCAGAAAACCAGCGCCCGAGCGACCCGGACTGCAGGCTCTAACGAGTGATTCTCTCTTCAAGTCCTAGTTTGAGGAAAGGCTTTGGAGGAAATCTTTTGTGCAGGGAATTCTTGAATTTTATGCCCAGGGAGGCTTGCAACATCCTTAAACTTCCATCTCATCCCCAAGTCGTTGGCTCACAGAGCTCCATCTTAAGCCAAACCACTCCAACTTCTCACTGGATCTCTCCACCAGAGAGCATTTCCCAACTGTGTTCAAAATCCAGGTCTTTTAACCACTTCCTTCTCTGCACTTTGCAATGGCATGTTCATTCTTCTGGCCTCGAACTCATAAGCACTGCTGTTCCTCAGCCCTCATCCAGTCCCTTCGACCTGCTTCCCACCCTCACTGCCTCTGGCCAAGTCCTGCCCTCCTTAACCGCCTGCCTGGACTCTGGCCGTAGTCCACTACCTCTGTCCAGGGGCTCTCCATCTCTTTTGTCCTCCTCCTCCACCAGAATGGCTGTGACCTTGTAACCCCTACCCCAGGACCTCAGGAATTTCCAGTCTGCTCAACTAAGTATCGCTCAGAGCCCAAGGTAAAGGGGCCTCAACCTCTTGAGCTTTATTTGCCATATTAACTTCTCTACTTTAAACAAAATGAACAAAAAACACATCCCACACTAGACCCACATTCTTCTTGAAGCCTCCTGCACCTGCCCCAACTCAAGCTATTGATCTACTTTTCTTCAACATGGGCCTAGCTCAGAAGTACCTCCTGCTGCCATATTGCTCCCCAAGCCCCCATGACCTTCTACACCTCACTTACAGGAGCTTCGCCTCACCTTGGAAAGCCTCATTCCTCACCCCCGTTTGCCTCTAGTATAGAAATGTGTTTGGTAAATCTGTGTGTTCCTTCTACTTCATTGCATATAAAAGCACCAAATAGATGTCTCTTGATTTAAATTGTGTCATTCCCCTGGTTACTGTGCGTGGTTGGTACTGTCATTTTCTTTCAGAGCCTAGGGAACTGAAGCAAAAACGGTTTAATAAAGCCATTTAAGCTAATGGATCCCCACTGGCCCTTGGTTAAAAGTTCACACCTTAGCTTCCAAGGCCTGCAGGCCAGAGTTGCACACTGCCTACCTTCCCAGCCTAAACTCCTCTGCGCCCCCCCGGGGTTGCCTATAGGCCAGCCACACTGACCTTTTTTGAGAGGTCCCTTCAGTTTGGTCTGTTCCCTCCAGCCTCAGAGCCTTTGCACAAGCTGTTTGCCTCAGCCCACAGGCTGCTCTTCAGGAACCATTCTTCCTTCCTGTCCCAGATTAGGTCACTCCCTTTGCATCCTGTGTCATTATAAAGGACCCTGGGCTCTCACTCACAGGAGAATGAGTAAATGTGTTTGCAATTTCTCCCTCACTGGACGATAAGCCTCAGGAAGACAGGAGCCTGGAGCTGCAGGTCCTGGTGCTCAGTAGATATTTGTTAAATATTTTTTTGTTTGTTTGTTTGTTTGTTTTAAGATTTTATTTATTCATGAGAGATGGAGAGAGAGAGGGAGAGAGAGAGAGAGAGAGAAGCAGAGGGAGAAGCAGGCTCCCAAGGAGCAGGGAGCCCGATGCGGGACTCGATCCCAGGACCCTGGGATCATGACCTGAGCCGAAGGCAGACGCTTAACCATCTGAGCCACCCAGGCGCCCCTAAATATTTGTTGAATGAATGAAGGAGTCATCTTAAAATTCAGAAAAGCAGATATCTACGTTTGCTTTCTAAGTCCTGAGACTGAATTGCATCTGAGTTGCAATGTACTCACTCAGCAGATACCTTTCATACCTACCAATGTGCCAGACATTGGTCTAGGCCCTAGGAATTCGGTGGTGACCTCGTAGACAAAATTCTGGCTAGGAAACAATAAATACATGAACAAAATAGCACAATTAAATAGTGGGGTGTGCTTGGGGTCAGGAGCTAGAAAGTAACTGGCTGAGAGGGTTGTTGGGAAACCATCCGTACACCCTCCCTCCTTGCCTGGGATAGCCCCAGTTTATGTTTGTTGAAGTGTCTTGGTTTGGACAATAAATTATATGGTCACCCTAGTTGTAGATAGAATATAGACACAGTATCTGAGAGAGTTTTCTAAAGAGGTGATATTTGAGCAGAGCCCAGCACAAAGAGAAGTAACAAATGATTTCCCCTGTGAAGGTCTGCGGGAAGAGGTGGGAGCGGGGAGCGGTGGAGCAGGTTTGGGAACTAGAACCAGTGTGGTAGGAGCCAGTCGTCTTCATTAAGGGGTCTGGAGAGTCTCAAGTCGGGAGGTCTGTGTTCTGGGACCGGAAACAGCCAGGAGCCATGGAGTTGTGTTGAACCGACCCAACCGGCCGAGAAACTGAAAGTTTTCACTCACAAAAATGTCTTAACAGATTTATTGAGGTATAAGTGATGTACAATACATTGCACATATTTTAATGTACAATTTGATAAGTGTGGCATCTGTATGCTCCCATTAAGCCATCACTGCGATCAAGGTAACAAACATGTTGATCACGCCTGGAAGCCTCTTTTGTGCTCCTCTGCAATCAGGCCTTTTTTCTTGCTTCTGGGTGTATCGCCCTCCTCCACCCCCCATCCCGGGCAACCGCCGACCTGCCCTGCCTGTATAGATTAGTTTGTAATTTATAGGATTTTTTTATATATGGAATTATACAGTATGTAGGGGCTTTTGGTCTTGTATAATTGTTATTATTATTTTAAGATTTTATTTAAGTAATCTCTGCACCCAACATGGGGCTCGAACCCACAGCCCTGAGATCAAGAATCACATGCTCCACTGACTGAGCCAGCCAGACATCCCTCACTTGTAGAATTATTTTTAAATTTCCCCATGTTGTAGTTGTAGCATGCATCAGTAGTCCTTTTTATTGCTGAGTGGTATTCCAGTGTACGGTTATACCACAGTTTGTTTATCCGTTCACTCACTGATGGACTTTTGGGCTCTTTCCAGTTTTTAGCTAGCACAAAGTTACTACAGACATTTCATGTACAAGTTTTAGAACATATATACACTTTTATTTCTCTTGGTAAATACCTAGCAGTGGAATGGCTGGCTCATATGGGAAGTATGTTCTTAACCTTTTAAAGAAACTGCCAAACTCTTTTCCAGAGTGGCTCTTTCATTTTGGATTCCCACCAGCAGTGTAAGAGAGTGCCAGATCCCCCACATCTTCACCAACACTTGGTCTGGTCAGTGTTTGTAACCTGAGCCATTCTAATGAGTGTGCCCCAGTATCTCATCGTGGTTTAAGTGGATTTCCCTAATGTTGAGTATCTTTTCATGTGCGCATTGGCCATATGTATATCTTATTTGGGAAAGTATCTGTTCAAATCTTTTGACCACGTTTTATTGTTTTTTTGTTTGTTTGTTTTCTGGTGTTTTTACTGTGTTTTGAGAGTCCTTTATCCATTCTGGATATAAGGGCTTTATCAGATATATGATTTGCAAATATTTTCTCCCAGTCTGCTTTTCATTTTCTTAACAATATCTTTTGAAGAGCACAAGTTTTTAATTTTGATGGTGAATTTATCAATTTGTCCTTTTATGGATTGTGCTTTGGTGTCAGATCCAAGAAATCTTTGTCTAACCTAAGGTCATAAAGGTTTTCTCCTGTATTTTCTTCTAGGACTTTTATACTTTTTGGTTTTATATTTAGGTATATGAGCCATTTTGAGTTAATTTTTGCTATGGTACAAGCATGGATTGAGCTTCCTCTTTTTGCAAATGGATATGCATTGTTCCAGCCCCATTTTTTGAGGAAATTATTGTTGCTGGATTGTTGAGCACGATGGTCAAGAAAGAATTCTTGAGACGTTTTAGGTGCAGCTTAGTAAGTTTATTTAAGCAGCGCAGGGACAGGACCCCTGGGCAGAAAGACCTGCACATCTGTTGTATAAAGCTGGTGGTTATATGCTTAGTGCTCAGGGGGAGGCCATGTGAGGGGAGTATTAGATCATAAATGTTTTCTTTGAATTTCTGCTCATAAAACTACTTACGCAAGATTTCTCTGGTGCTTGTCATTCAGTTCAATATTAACTATCGGTGAGATTTACAGACAGTCATGAGACCCTTTAAGGATGTGGCAACCGGTGTGTATTTGATCCTTATGGGAACTATGCAGGCTATAGGTCAGCCTTCTGGGCTAAGGAACATTTTTCTGCTTCTATCCCTCATCAGTTACCCATACTCTATTGAATTGCCTTTGCACTTTTGTTGGAAAGCAGTTGTTCATCTATGTGTGGACCTATTTTTGCACTCTTTATTCTGTTCCATTGATCCATTTATCTTGACACCGATACCATACTGTCTGGATACACTGTAGCTGTATAATAATTCTTGAAGTAAGTTAGCATTCGTCCTTTGACTTTGCTCTTTTTCAAAGTCCTTTGCATTTCCATATGAATTCTAGAGTCAGTTTGCCAATTTCTACAAAAAGATGTGAAGTTGGAATAAAAATATCAAACCTTTGTGTTGAGTTTTAGTTAGCAAACTATTTTAGAGATGAAAACACTTTATGGGGGCAGTTATTCCAGGTAAGTCTTATGGTTGACGTGCAAAAAAGTATAAAATCATAATAAATCATAAATATCATAAATAAAGCCAAGACCCCCAAATTTTAAGAGCTTATGGATCCTACATTCCAAGGGGATCTTTTATCAGGAGGTACAGTTATCATATGGGTTTTCATTTTGCTGTTTTTTTTTTTAATTTGGATTTCCACATGAAAGCCAGGCCCCTGTGTTGCAAGATACTTCTCATCTTCATTCCTGAGTTTTTTATCTAGGAGTGTATTCCATTTCACTTAATAAAAATGTATTTTAGTGTTTTTAATACATCAACTATGTTTCTCTTTGTTTAGCCTGGGACATTTTTAAAGTGAGATGCTATCAACATGGCATCGATTTTATACAAATATTTAGCCCTTGCAGGTATTCTTGATAACTTGCACATTCCTCTCCTTTCCCTTGCATAGAAGAGACACTTTCTAAATAATACACCTCCATCTGTTACTTTATGGGTGGGTCACAGGACATAGAGAAGTCAACTCAGCTTTGTGTGGCCCTTGCAAAACTTCAGATAGTTTATTCCCACGTTAGGATGGTAACCATTCCTTTTCCCAGAAGGCACTGGCCTGGCAGCACGATCATGGCCAGAGCACAGGTGCTGAGCTGGTAGATGCTGGTTTGCGTGGTGACCTTGCTGAGCCTCCACTTTTCCATTTTTAAGACAGGAATAATGCCTCTCTCCCTCAAAACTCAGCTTGGAGGATTAGTGGTGATAAAGTGATGGGGACAATCACTTACTGTTTCCTTTATGTCAGACACTATGCTAAGTGCCTTGTATTTGTCTCAACCCTCATTACTGCTTAATGAGATAGTGACTACAACATAACAAATGCCAAAATATGTGTTGGCATCCGATTATCTAATGTTTTTAATTAAATTTTTATTATGAAAGTTTCTATACATACACAAAAATAAAATAGTAAAATGAATCCCCATATATCCATTTCTCAAACTCCGAAATTGTCAGGATTTTGCCACATTTGTTTCGTCTGTCTTTTGGGGGGGAGTAGGAGAGCTGCAGTATTTTAAAGCAAATCTGAGGCCTTCTTTCAGATTTTAGTGTGCATCTCTGAAACGTGTAAACATTTTCTTCAATGACCCAATGCCATTATCACACCTAACAAAATTAATAATTCCTTGATATTACCAAATGTCCCTGGTTGCCTAAAAATGTCTTTTTACAGTTTGTTCAAATCAGTGCAGACAAGGTCCACCTGACCATTAGATTAGGTTGGGTCTCTTTTAATCTGGGTGCTTCATACACATTTGTTGAATTAGACCGCACGTGACTTCTCCTCTCCCTCCATGCAAAAATTTTTGTTACTGTTACAGTTTTTTGGTTTTCAGGAGTTATTTTTATGTTCAACAGGAAATGTTGAAAATTATTTCAAGGTTATAAAAACTAATTTTTGCCCCGTATATACTTGTCTTTGAAAGCCAGGTAAAGGGAAACGAGGAAAAGGCCGAGGCAAGTCTCGCGGGAAGAAACAGAAGAAACCGGAAGTGGACATTCTCAGCCCCGCTGCCATGCTGAACCTCTACTACATCGCCCACAACGTGGCCGACTGCCTGCAGCTGCGAGGCTTCCGCTGGCCAGGTGCTCCCAAATCAAAGAAAGGGAAAAACAAGACTTAATAGCATTTCACAGCAGAACTTGGGGAAGAGAAATCAGGATAACACAACTACTGCAAGCAAAATAGACTTCACTGAAGACAATTTGAGATGCAAGCTAAGTGTGCTTTTCTCTGGTAGTTAATGATAAAGAAATGCATTTTACTTCCTAGCTAAATTCAGCTATAGTTAGCCAATTTGCTTTTTCAGAAGAGGTCAAGGCGGGGGGTTGGGGGGGAGTCCGAGTAATTCCTACTAAGCATGGTGGAATTGATAGGACTTTAAAAATTATTATAATTCTGGGTCAGAATAAACTTTGTTCTCAAAAGGCAGTTCTAGCCTGCATGAATTATTTTCTTTTGCCTAAACAGGTTTGTTACATAGAAAAGGCATGCCTGGGGCACCCGGGTAGCTCAGCTGGTTAAGTGCCAGACTCTCCATTTTGGCTCAGGTCTTGATTCCAGGGTGGTGAGTTCAAGCCCCTGCATCGGGCTCCACGCTGGGCATGGAGCCTACTTAAAAAAAAAAAAAAAAAAAGACATGACGAAAAGCACAGGATTTGCTTGTGAACAGCCCTCTCTTGGGCACTGTTTCCTTTTTTCATCTTTTTCAGGAAAAATAATGAATACTTTGTTTCTATAATTTTTTCTTCTCAGCAGTCTGACTCTTGGCTGATTTTAATTAGCCAGGGATACTGGTGGAGACAGATCATCACTCCTGCTCTGACCTTTCTAGGGCATATAAGCAAATGACTCAAAGGAGCTGACAGGGGACCATGTCCCAGTGCTGGGAAAGGGAGCAAATCAGCACACATCTCTCCCTTCTTTCCATTTCACTGGACTCTTCTCCACGCTTTTCCTCCACGCTTACATCTTCCTTCCACCTTCTGCAGGCTTCCTTCTAAACGTGGCTGACCCCGAGTTATAGAACTGGTGCTAGAAACTTGCCATGGGCATTCTGCTGCTATTCCATGATCCACGTAAGAGATAAAACTGCAGTTCTTTCTCTTCAGTCCAAAAGGCCTAAAAGCCCCAAATGTGAAACTTGGAAGGAAAGGCATTTTGAAGTATAAACACCATCTCTGAATCACTTAGCATTCCATCCCTGCTCCCGCTCTGTCTTGCTGGCATGTTGCACCACGTTCCCAAAGCTGACACCTGCACTGTGCTCTGCAATCGCAGCTGTGGGCCCCAAGCTGATGCCTCTAAGGCAGCACCTGTCCGGGGATGATCTAGTTTGTCTGAATTGCTTATAATGATGCTGCAGGTTGCCTGGTGAGGATCTCAAAGATTCATGAAGTCTGCTAAGAAAGGCTGCAACCTAGGACTCAGGATTTCATAAATATCAGAGGAAAAAAGGCGATCACACAAATCCTTGTACTAGAGAAGTGGGGTGCTCACACCGCACATGAGCTTGCTGGGAGTGACATTCCTCTAGCTGTCCCACCTGCGCAGGTGAGACCCTGACTAGTTGCCAGAGGAGCCCTCACTCACTCGGGTGAAGGTTGGTGCTGCTCTTAAGCTGAAGCTTAAGCTGTGCTTTGGAAAGGGAGCACCTTCCCACTCTGCTAGACACTGCTGGGACGGACCCAAGTGGTTTCTGTGAACACACTAACTCCAGTTCAGTCCTTCCCAAACCTGAGCAAGCAGCACCCGGAGGACGTGTCAAAGGGTGGGGGTTGGGAATTTGCCTTCCCGCCCCCCCCCCCCCCGCAGCGGTGCCGCTGCTGGACCGCACCCGGGGAGGAGCTGGGCTCTAGTTAATGCGGCCTAACCAGGGGCTGAAATGCTTGCTGAGTCTTTCAACTTGTGGGATGTCTCATGCCCTCCTCTGCCTCGCTTGGTTCGGAGCTTGTATCTGAGCAGTAATGCTTATTGGAATGCTGGGGAGGTAGCGTTCGCAGAGGCTTTTTCTGATCTTGTCCCCAGCATGGATGACATCATCTAGGGAGCTACAGAGACGTGCCAGGCGGCAGACATTTAAAGGCTAAGGAGATCATCTGGAAGTGGAAATGCTTTCTTTTCTTGAGATGGTTAAATGATGAGCAGAAAGGCTAGTAAGCACGGAATAGAGGAAGTACGAATCGGATCGGATGGGCACGGTTTACACCGAGCAGAGGAGGCTGAGGCGCAGGTCCCATCGTGATGGAGGGCAGTTAGTTTCTGTTTCCCCTTCGCTCGTGTGTCTGCCGTGTTATCATGACAGAGACACTGCAGACCAAAAGTCCACAAAGAACATTATCAGGAAAGTGAGGAAAAAATGAATATAGGCTTAAAATATTATTGTATTGATGTAAATTTCTTGGCCATGATAATCTTATTGTGGTTATATGCCAGAACGTTCTTGTCCTCAGGAGCTAAATTATTTAGGTGGAAGGGTAATGATGTATGCAACTTACTTTGAAATGCTTCAGGAAAAAAGTGTGCATATATGTGTGTGTATAAAATACATATTTTCACACGTTGCCACATTTGCACTCTTTGCACGTAAGATACACACATATAGTAGCTATACTTGTATAACATGCGGGTGTATCAGAGAGATCCAGAGACTAACATGTTGCCGCATTTGCTATGATTACGTGCATAGAGGAAATATATACATCCATATATGTATGTTTACGTATGGATACACATGTATACACAGTTTGTGCATGTGCACATATGACAGAATGTCAGTTCCCGAATCCAGGTCAGTGGTTCTCAGCTGGGGGCTACTCTGCCTCCCAAAGGACACTTGGGGATGTCTGAGATATTTTTGGTTGTCTCAGTGGAGGGGATGCCACCAGCATCTAGTGGGTAGAGATCAGGAATGCAGCTAAACGTCCCACAATGCACTGGACAGGCTCCCACAACAACAAATTCTCCCGCCCCAAATGTTATGGTGCCAAGGTTGAGAACGCTGGTCTAGGTAAAGGGTCAGTGGGTTCACTGTACTTTCTTTCAACCTTTCTATAGGCTTGAGATTTAAAAAAAAAATACAAAAGTGGTGTTTAAAAAAAAAAGGTGAGAGAGGAAAGATGTGTGACAGAAAGGTGAGGAAGTGAAGAAAAAAGCATAAGCAAATTCTTCCCAGGATCTTGTTTATAAGGGGATGAATTACAGCGAGGCGAAAAGACAGCACTCCTGTCAACCACGCTAACCGCCCCCCCCCCCCGCGAATCCCATGAAGAATTATCCCGGTGTTCATGTTTAGTAACACCTGACCAGTAATACCAGTCCCGTCCCTCAGGCACAGCTGGTTGGACCAGTGGGAGGCTCCTGACCCCTGAAAACTCATCCATTGGCTGCTACAATGAGCCTGGTCTATTTTAAGACCAGGTGGGTCCATCAGAGTCTCCGGCCGTCCTGTAAAGACCTGGAGAACGAGGCACGTAGGAAGCTGATGCTTGGAGGAAGCATAGAAAGAGATCACAGGCTACAGCTGCGGCCCCAGGGGTTCCCCACAAGCTAAAGTTTGTGGAAAAGCGGAAACCTACAGTAAGCAGACCTCAGGAGGCGGAGGAGAGATGTGTGGAGCCCAGAGGACACGGCCATGCCTTGGACCACTTCTCTCCTTCCCGCTCTCCCCGCCTCGGCGACTGCACGGGGCGTGGGCACCTGTCTGTAAACCACGAGCGAGGTGAAGCCAACCTTCTCCCTGGGAGACACGCAGTGGCCGTGGGAAATCCAGGGAGCGGTCCTGCAGGCACCAGGGAATGTGGAACTAGGGCTCAGAGAGACAGGTTGGCCAGGAGTGTAGGTTTAGATGCAGTGTATTCGATGCAGGCTCATGGCTGGAACCAAGGGCTGGTCAGTTGTAGAAATAAGAAAGTTGCGCTGAGTCAGGAGCCATGGGGACAGTCTCCTTTCATGGGACAGAAGGAAGAGGAGGGGCTGTCAGAGATGGAGGAGGAGGGTGAGGGAACCTGGAGAAAAGGGGGGTCAGCGGGGCCACACGCTGCAGGGATGTCAGGGAGGGTGAGAGAATGGGAACAGGGATCATGATCTGTTGGATCATGATCTGAGGGGTCCTCCTGCGTCCGGCTTCTCTATAAAACAGGGAATGAGCGTAAACGTGGGAGGGAGGACCGAGGGGCTTCTGCTGCTGGTGCACAAACGCAAACCTCCTGTCAGAATCCAGGTCTGTCGCCGGCCCTGCAGTGTGTTCCTCATCTCCCTCTGGTGGTGGGAGGATGCGGCGTGTGTCCCTGAGTTTCTGTGAGCCCAGAGATGCCCCAGCTTGAAGCAGGGTCACGGCGGTGGCCACGTGCTCCCGGTGGCTGGCAGCCATGCACGCAGCGCCACCTGCTGTTGGTTTTGGGGGCTGCATCATGTTTTGTCTTGCCGGTCAAAGCCAACTTGGGACTGATTTTCTCCTCACTTGACATTTCTTACTTTGATAATCCTATATTGGCTGTTGCCCTCTAAAAATATGATATGATCATGTGACCCTTCTGCCTCAAACATTCCCATGGTGACCCATTGCTCTTGGGATGAGACCAGACTTCCCACCAAGGTCCACAAGCGCTGAGTGGTCCGGGGCACTCTCTCCTCCCCGCCTCCCAGCACGTCTGCGCCCTCTTCTCGGCATTCCAGCCACTCTGGCTCCCTTCTGCCTCAGACATTTTGCTCATATTGTTCCCTCTGTGTGGACACGAGTCTCCCTTTCCCCTGAGTAACTCCCAGCCACCCTTTAGGTCCCAGCTTCGGATCTTCTAAGAGAAGTCTCCCGGATCCTGGGCCAAAGCCGGTCGTGTGCCCTATGCGCTCTGCGGGGCTCTGTATGTCTCCATACTTTTTTTTTTTAGGTTTTATTTATCCACTTGACAGAGAGCACAAGCAGGGGCAGCGGCAGGCAGAGGGAGAGGGAGAAGCAGGTTCCTCACCGAGCAGGGAGCCCAATGCGGGGCTCCATCCCAGGACCCTGGGATCATGACCTGAGCCGAAGGCAGACGCTTAACCCACTGAGCCACCCAGGCGCCCCATGTCTCCATACTTTTACAATTAAATGGCTGATTGATTAACGGTTATCTTCCCTGCTAGAATGCAGTTCTCTGCTAGCAGGGCTGGTCGGCTTGTTGATGGCTTCCTTGTGCCCTGTGACATAACCAGCACCCTGGCATATAAATATTTGTTGAAGGATTTTTCTAACAAGCTATTTATGCTACAGTAACAACCCCAAAATCTCAGTGGCTTAGAACAACAAAGGTTTATTTCTTATTAAAGCTTTAGTTCCTGGAGGGCTGACCCAAAGGTTTCTTTCTCCCTCGGGCTCCATGTCCATTGAGGGTGGGCTGGGGGCCTGCCTCCAGGGCCCCGGGCTTACAGAGCAGCCAGCATTTGGGGTGT